AATGAAAGAACGAGTTTGACAACTGTCATGAATTAAATTGCTTTGTCAGTTAATCAAGCTCGAATATATAGTTTGAATGATAATCATTACCACCCTTTTTAATATTCACTGCCTGATGAAGGCGTTTTCTAGATTTTGCCACAAACCTTTGTTTTCTGCGGTTTGTATGCATCTTAATGTAGCGAACTTCTTCAGCTCATCATGTCATCGATCTGGTGGTCTTCTTACGGATCACTTACTCTCTTCTGGAACACAATCTAAAATCTCTCTGATCAAGCGAGTGTCGGTTCTTCTTGCAGCATGTCAGGCCTGTTACTTCTTTAACTTCTTCACTTGGGCAATGACGTCACGAAACGTTTATGCACTTTCCTGTTCGTTCATTTTCCTATCTTTTTTTGTTATTCCCAACATCTTTCCATGCCCTGTTCCTTAGTTTGCAATTTTTGAATAGCTTTCAGGCTCAGGGACCACGTTTATCATTTGTGAATTAGCACCGGAAGCGCATACTGATCAATAACTTTCCGTTTCAAGCACGAGGAGAGTTTCGTTGAGAGGACATTGGTCTTCTTCGAAACCAAGTCAGCTTCCTGTTCAATCCGTCAACGACATATTTACGGTCGGTTTACCGTAAGATCTGTCATAGATTCCTGCGGATTGCGAAGCAGAAACATATGCGCGGTCTTCATAGACATCGAAAAATCTTCTTACTGGATACCAAGATCGAAAAGATAGTATAGAATGAGCAAGCAACTGGTGTCATAAAATATTAGGCTTACCTAATAAATGTATGATGGAGTGACAGCAGCATTTAAATATACAGGAAAATAAATTCAGCGTGAAAATCAACACGAATTAAGAAGTCTTTCGATAAAAAAACCGCACGATGTAATATGATGTCCATGACCTAAAGCTTACTTTTTGTAGAATTGTAGTAAGTCATGATCGAAAAATTTCTATGACACCAGACATCCATCAGAGTATTCTTATTTCTAAGATTAGTTGGATAATTCATGCTTGGAATGTGTGCGTATGGGCAACATTAAGTGCTGCCGTAATTAAAGAATTAATTGAAGGTTGATTTATATGGTTCCGACTACGGAAGGACGACCTCATTAGTGCGTCAGAAATCTTATCATAGCACTGTAGCTCCCGTAGAAGAAAAAGAGGTACATTACGTGAAAAAAGTATTGCGATGTTGCAAAGAACGGTATGAGAATGCAGGGATTGCCAAAAGTTTCCATTACTATCGAAGAATCAGAAATTCACCTGAACTGCGGGCTCCTCTTATATGGAAACGATTGTGGCAATAATGTAACCGAAATAGTTGATATTCTGACTTTTCACTTTTCATTAAGGCATCAGCTTACCATTGAGAGAAGCCATAACATTCCATAAAAAAGCGTAACTACAAGATTTTCTTCTGAGTTGAAACAGTTTTCCAGTCGTTGCATCTGTTCCATTGCAAATTCAATTCATTCAATAATTTACCAAAGAAAACCAAGGATTTTAACATCTTTTATTAGGCAGTTGTAGCTAATAATAATAAAATATCTCCGTCCCATCAGCTGGCTTGGTTTTCAGTCGATTTTATATGCGGTTCATAAAAAGCCATTATGAGTCATCATTCATGACTGCATGGTATGTGCCTATCAAGATCAGTTTCTGTTGTTATGGCGGTAGAACATTAGTTAATTAATTACTATGAAATTTTAACTGTACTTAATTTCAAACTTAGGAAATGATGAGCTGCTGAAATGTTGGCACCTTTTAGAGATAGGATCATTGCGGCATTATTAGACAGTGCGCGAGGAGCAGGAAACCGGGAAGTACATGTGCGAGGGACACCAGAGACGCGGAGCATGCGTTGGGTTCCTCTGTGGTCATTTTTGGACGAAGAAGCTGAGTCTCAGCAAATGAAGTTCATAGCATCCTCCAACCGTATGAAACAATGTGTTCTGACTTTTGTTAATAACGGTAAATTTCAGCTCCAGTAGGCGTTGTTGAAGCCGTGAAGAGGTTTAACTGGAACGTCAACTACAGTGGCCTGATTCATTCGGTTAGTCAAGAAGTACGTCAGCTGCCGCATCTCATGTGCCCCACTTTATTTTTGCTACTTTAAGGGTCTTTTCGCCGAAAACAAGGAAAAACTTATTGTAAATTGTTTAATGATTATTTTGGACAGCTGCCACAACCTTTCTGCCGCCGCATGGGAACAAGTGTTTCTTGCCCTCCGGAAACTTTTCGCATCGAAAGCCGGATTCAGTGCCTTTTACGCCGTGCCTCGGTAAGTATTGCTTTATTTAAACTTTCTATCTTTATCAATCTGTTGTGATTGTTTTTTAAAGCCCCACCCACTTCCAAGTATTCCACAATTACTAACTGTTCACTGATTTCGCAGCCAGAGTGTGCCAGTCAGAAGACCTCAATTTGCTCGACATGCAATAATGAAACACAGTGTCTATCTTAGTCCACAGAGCAAATGAATGGTCGCTCACGTGCCCTGCCAGGGTCGAGGTGAGGGATTGTTTGTGGGCCATGTGCTGATCGCTTTCCAGATACACTGATACTTTTCTGATCCTAGAGCGTGATGCTCTATCGATAACCACACTGCAGACGATCGCCTTTCTAAAAGCGCGCACTAGCAGATGCATGTGCCTGACTGTTTTTAATTGTTGTTATATTGTATTTTGATCTGCACGATTAATGGCCGTGTGTTTTTGGGGCAAAAATTCATAATATCTAAAGTGTGAAGCAAGCTACAAACTCATTGCGGCGCTGAGTAGTGGAATCGCATTGAGATTTGCAGTTATGCATGAGTTTAAGCTTAGCTCTAATGTGGAATTATGAATGCAGTTTTGTTATGTAAATTGATCTGCATTTATGCATTAGTTGTCTGGAAAGGGTCTCGGTTCATTAGTAGATTGCTTTGTACGCTGGAGTGCGGGTTCAGTTGCATCGCGCAGCGCGAATTTTCTCTTATTCACTGTAAATTCTCTTCAGTCAAGAATTCACCCCATTGTGCTTCGGTGCAACCTGTCGGAAAAAGAGTAGCAGCTCCTTGTCCTGTGCATAATAGGTACAGCATGGTACTTTTCGGTGAGGTCATTCCAGTGTACGAGATATATGGCCATGCTGTATGATGCACGCGTTTTTGGGTTGCGCTAATTCTGACCCACCTTATAGCTGATTAAAAATCAGTCAACGTGTAAACTTTAATTTAAAAAAATGTCTGTAGATTGAAATGGATTTGCAAGAATTCATCAGTGCTTAGAAACATAATTATATGCGTGCGCTTTTATAATGCTACTCTAAATGCTGTGTGCCATAGTTCCAAAGTTTCCGCATCACTTTTGTAAAGTACCCAGACTTCGCGATCTCAGATGCAGTTGCAGTAGAAAGCTAAGATGCATAACACATAATGATAAATACATATGGTCTATGCAGTTTTAGAAATGTGCACTTTGCAGACTGAGGGAAATGCTTGGCAGCGCTGTGATGATTGCCTTGAAGCTGAATGATGATGGCGTCAGCCAAGTGGCGATCGACGCCCTGTGCGCCTTGATGCACCCACTGCATGACAATTACGAGCTTAAGGTCGAGCAGATGAACAAGTGGTCGCTCTTGTCTTCTCGAAAGTTCGTCGAGCATATACTCGACATGTTTTGTTTCCACGTCGTAAGTACAACAACATGCTATATTTTTGTTGAAGCGCTGTTTCAGTTTCGTTTCCATTTAGAGGCACGGCACCGGCGCTTTGGTTGTCACTAGCGTGCTTGACTTCTTGACCTTTGCACTGTGTATGCCTTACGGCGAAACGACACCTGCCGAGCAGTTTGACATGGTTCTGGAATTGCTGGTTGCTCGTGCACGAACCCTGTACAAACTGTTCGAATACCCCTCCTTAACGATCGTCAAAGGGGCTGGTCTTGTGATTCAGGCAATGATTGAAGTAAATTACGTTACACTGAATGATATAAAATTAAAGTTTAGCCTTAGTATGATCAGTTAATATCTTGGTGTGATTCATTAAATGCAGTTTCAAGACTTCCTTTCAGAATAGTCGCTTGCCATATTTGACGACAAAAATCAAAATCATCTTTCATATTATTTTTTGTCTTTACTGCACATGCGCTATAACAGTTTCTACAAAGTTCGTTGCAGCTCATTGAAAGCACAAGTCCAACAATTTGATATGTTATGTAGACTCAGTATAAGACAGAGATGACAAGATGTTTGAGTTTGTAATCAATAGCAAAAACTGTTTAAAACCTAGGAAACGTCATTTAAAGTTTCAGACCCTTTGAAACCCGAAATTGTATTCCCCTTTCAGTTTGCAGTGTTACTGATTAATGAATAATAGCTAATGTTCCTCAGTAATGTTCTTCCGCATATCCAACCATCGATCTGGAGTTCTTCCTACAAGCCGTTTACTTTCTCTTGGAGCCAGGTCTAATATCTCTGGTCCAGCGGTGTTGGACCCAATGAGTTGAACAAGTTTGCTGAATCGAGGTGGACGAAAATGGCGCAAAAGGAAGTCTTTGAAGAAATCTTGGAGAAACTTTAATTTATCAGTAAATCGACAAAGGCTGATGATGAGAACTGGTTGTTTTTATTATAGGCTGAAGAAGGAACACTATTTTGAATGTTTTACGTACTGATTGAACATTTTGCTTATTTTTCTTAAACTATCTGATTTTTTATGTAGGTCACTGAATATACTACCTGTTTATTAGCGGGCTCGAAGATAGCTGAGTTCTTTGCTGAACTGAACTAATATTATTTTGATGGGCAGTATTTTCAGGATACTTTTGGCATCTAACCTTTAAGAATTAATTAGCTATGCACATGATATGCTTACTATTGCTCCAATGCTCATGCATATGTAATTGTTTAAATATGTTTTACACACTGCACCGATTTGATCAGTTGTCCGAGTTCGTTTTTCGCCGGTTTTTGGATTGCTATTCTTTCTGTCAGTTTCGTTGCTGATCGCGTTGAAACAGACCGAATTTTCGAATGAGAAATTTGGAAATTTTAAAAAGTGTCTCTGTTCATACTCATAAGGATTGGATCGAACTTTGTATTATTGACTTATACATATAGCGGCTTTCAATCCATACTGCTTTTCGGTAGTTTTAATGTTATCGCTGTTTTGCGAGTCGTAAATATTTTAATAAGCTTATCTCCACCAAACCAGGTCTCGCGGTTTTAGGGCATCATCTGTTTGTTCGAGATATTTAAGAGCTCATCTCCGTATTTTTCTGTAACCTTCATTGCTGTGATGCATTGCGTGGGCCATTTTGATGAGGTTGGTTGGTGGGTTTGTGCAGACAGCCTCTACGTGGCCTCTTGGATTTACTTTATTGTACCGAATTATCCCAACGTTATGATCATGACTGAATGGCGACAAAGATCCAGAGTTGGATCCCAACTACTCACTGCATTTTCAGATGCCCAAATGGTGATCCTGTGGTCCAAGCCCATAGCCCTTTTTTAGTGTTGTCGCAAAGGTTGTTCCGTCCCCGGAAGCTACCATTCGCTATTTCGGTCATGATTAATCTGCTATGGTTAATTATCAGAGTGAAATT